CTGAGTTAGTTTTTGGACTACCGCTCTCTTTTTGTGCCGTAGAATCATGATTTATTTTGCGAGGAAAGTTCCGCACTTTAGAAGGATGCCTGTCATTCTTAATATGTTGGAGCGCTTTCAGTGTCTTATGATACTGTGCAATACCTCTGATGTGAAACAGTTGCTTCAGACGCCGTGGCACGCTGCGGCGCGGCGGGCGGGCGGAGAGCGCGAAACGCGCATTCGCGCCTACAAACCTAACAGGGATACTTCACGCGTTGCGCAATGCGTGAAGTATCCCTGTTAGGTTTGTAGGCGCCAGTGCGTCGTCGCCGCTCTGCTTTGTGTTAGGCTCTAATACTTAATCTCGCGGAGTCAGCGTTTTTCAACTCATGATTTTGAAATGTTTGCACACTCTGTATGGATTATTCTCATTTTAATTGATGAAAAAAAGTATGTTTTAAAGGAAAATATAAGGTGTGTTTTGTAAATATTAAGGTAGTTCCATATCAAACTTAATGATTTCCACAGCACACGAATTTCTACACAATTTCTTGTAGCATTTTAAAGGCAATGGCGATAAAGTGCAAAGCCCGGCGATACGAACTATAGCGCGACTGTATAATTTTTTATACCTTCGTATAGCCCGGCTATATGTATGATTTTCAATAGCCTTCTTTGGTCGGCTATAAGAACTCCTATGGTACTTTGAATCGCAGCTCCTATCGCCAATTCTTACCAGGGACTTGCAAAATCGCTATTGGTCTGGCGGTTTTAACGTGGGACACCCGAAGTATGGACGAAAGCGTGTCCGTAGATTCCCTCTCAATATTTACCACTCACAACGATTTTCTTCAGAATATGAAAGTAGAGGTGAAGCCAAGGGTTCTCGGAAGGAAAGGGGCGGGGATCCAAAACTTATCTCTGGGGTGCAGTGAGGATACCATCAGCCTCTATCAAGGTTCAAAAATCCAACTATGGAGGAACTGTCGCGTCCAAGGGAGGGGGGGGGGCTGGATTTTCTTTTCGGCTACATCTTTGTCACGAAAATACAAAAAGTTCCGCACTTTGAACGATGGACCGCTGAACAGCTAAAGAAATTGCGCATCTTAGTCGGGGTGAACTAGCCCACAGGGTCATTTCGCTGAGCGCCTTCGTTTTGAAGTGACCCTGCGCTCTCAGGTCCTTATTTTGTGGGAGGGAGAGGTTTATTTAAAAGGGGAGTCAAAAATTCTCAAAATATGCAAAATTTGTCTGGAGAAACCCTCAGATCCCTTCTTATGAGGGAGATTACTGATGAGATGGCCCCTCAAAACCCCTGTACCGCGCCCTCTCGAAGAGCAAGTCTGCCCCTGAACACAGTGCATGCTTCTCGATTCCAATACTTTTTTTCTTTTTTCCTGTTGTTTTATGGCTTTGTGCTGAGCACCTGCAGCCAAAGAGTCCAATATTTACTGATTTACAGAAATAATCTTAAAATTGAAAATTCAACGAGTTCGCTGCTTGCGCGTTCATTCTCTTTGTAAAAAAACCAAAATTTAGAAAGAGTGGCCCTTCTCGTAAGATTCTGACACCGATGTGCCATCCTTGTGGACCTATCTATGCTGCCATGCTAGGGAAGAACGCTATATGAACCTTCAGGCGTTGCCAAATTTCCTTTGAAAAATTACAAATTTGCTGGGGGAAATGAGAATATTTTTCTTCCAATTTTTCGGACAATATTGTTTACGCTCTAATCCAGAATATCTGAAAATTTCAAGGTAAAATATGCATAGCTTTCTTCCAAAATGAACATTTTATCAGGGGCAACTTGGCAACTCTCGAATGTTCATACGACGTTTTTCCTTAGCACGGCAGGATGGCGAAGTGACTCTGCCCTACTCGCACAGGTTTAGATCATGAGATAGTATTTTTGAAAGGGGGGGGGGGTTATTAAGTCGATTCTAAACTGAAGGGTGCTAATTTTAGTTTGAACTTACCGCACTTTTTGATTTTTATGCAAACATTGCGAAAGTCATGTACTTGTCAGATAAACGTCTCTTCAAGTCTCATCGCACATCAGGAGTGATTGAAAGCACAGATGGATATCGACGGTGTAAGTCGGCAATCACACAACTCGTTTGCGGTGTCTGAAAATCTCCGCCTCTATGTTATTTTTTTAAATGAGAACAAATTGACATCATTCCTTGAAGTTTATGCAGAATTTTCTTTGCACAGAGAAGAAAAATCACGGCAGTTTTAAAGAATTGCCGTTGAGTAGTTTTCCGTTTAAAAAATAAAGTATGACAGGAAGTCTGCGACGTCGCAAACCGAGTTATGTGATTGCCGACTTACACCGTCGATCCAAGGCCAAATCGATTCAACGTGAAGTTCATTTAAATAAAAATAGAGGCAGTTCAAGATTTTTCTACATTTGGAAAATGTAACTTTGGACACAAGAAATTTGGCAATATTGTTAAATTCAATAATCGATGTGCCATCAGAAATATGTATCACATAAATATCGTCATTTTCCAAAACATTTTTTTTCTGGGACATACATAAAAAAGAAAAAAATGTATTGCAGGAATTGAACATTCAGGACAGGATGCGCAAAGATTAGGTTTACATCCACCGGAGTGTCCGCGTTTGAAATATTACTTGAAAATTCTGATTTTTTAGAATTAGATCCTAGATTCCAAAGTTCAAAGCCTTTCATAAACCTTTACAAGTCTTCCAACTAATCTCATAGTTAAATGAAATGATTTCAAACTAAATTTAAAACAAAAACAAAAAGGCAACATAAAAATAAAATAAAAAATTGTAATAATACCCGTTGCAGGTAACCGTCACTGGTACCTAATATCTTATATTTTTTCAATTAGCAGACCTTAACTCTACACACTTTCTCTTCTTGTAAGAATAAAGATCCAGTGTCACCCATGGATAATAAACACTTAGGTGAGAATAGTAGAGAAGTAAAAAATATTAATGATTGAGACAATGTAAGCATGACAAGTGAACTTTGCTTCATTTGTTGACTTTGTTAGATGAAAGCTATGTATCAATGAGAGAGCATTTCCAAGAAATACAGAACTGATCTGAATAGTATGTTAGAGTTTTTTAGCCAAAGTGCATTAAAAATTCAGTATAAATCTGAAAATCTCAATACAGAGGGAAAAAGCTTATATGCGCACAATTTTCCCTCAAAGAGATATGCTGTTTGGTGCAACACTAGTTACGATTATTCAGGAAGGCAACTGCAGATGTGTTTCGGCCTTGTTGGACCAATCCTCAGTGCAGCGCAGCCTCCTGAATTTCCTGCTACCTGAATGGTCGTAACTAGTGTTGCAACAAGCAGCATATCTTTTGAGGGAAAATGGTGCTCCTATGAGATTTTTCCTTAGTTTAAATAATAAGACCAATGTCTTATTAATAAAAATCTCCTGAAAATAAAATTCACATCTAGTACTAGCATACAAATATTCATTCCTCTTGTTAAATCTCCGTTGTATAATCTCCGATGCACATAGTTTAAACACTTTGCGGTGTGTAACTACTGATAACTTCAAACAAAAACCCAGAGGGGAAAAAAGTATTGATGCTAAAATTTTTCAGCTTGGAATTTCTTCCATAAGACCTTCCTCTTGAAAATTCCTTAAAGTTAAATTTCCTCTTGTTAAAAATTTTTCCTCAAGTCAAATTTCCTCTTATTGAGCCATAAAAATCTCCATTAGTTAGTAAAATTTCCATAGAATAAATTCATCAAAGATTCCCCGTGACGCCTCCCCATCCTTATGCACCCAGCACCCCTTTCACTTAAATCCCCCGAGACATGCGAATAAGATGTCAAGAACATTGGGAAATTAAAGCTACGCAAGGAAACCAAACATTCCGTCAGGAAAGGTCGCACAAGAGTCACTTTAATGAAAGTCCGTAGTCTCCGAGTTGTCCGCATCCTGTCGTAATCATCCATTGTGTCCTAGCTTTCCATGTTTATTGTGTTCCGTCTTTCCAGATTGTCGTCGCCAATCCATCCGTTTAATCTCCGTTTATCATCACTTGCCTTTAGTTCCGAGTTCCGAGTGGTTATCAAGTAAATCAATTGAAAAAGATAAGGTTCCGAGTGAGCGTCTTATCATCTCTTGATTGCCATTTCGACGTTGGCTAAAGCAAAAATTTCACTTTTAATTCACAAAGGAAGTCCCGAAAAAATCCTTAAAATCGATGGTATCTTCCACTTAGGTTTGAAAAAACGAGTTCAAACTTTCGGGGGGCACACAACACACTGAATGAGTTCCATTTTAGTCAAAAAATCTCCGAAATAGACCGATTGCGAACAGTTATGAATTTCCGAGCCGGAGCGTGTCGCAACGTGCAACCGCCCGGCTCCGCTACATGAACATGACTCATTCACAATAGTTGACAAATAATGCCGTACCATCATAGCCTAGTCTGTCTCTCCTCATCAACAGAGATCATGTTGGAACAATCGTTCAACCTTGAGTATAAAGCCCATTTTACACAGTTCAACTCTTCATCCAACAAACGCAGGCAAAAAGCTGAATGGATATTTGAACACAACAAAATTTGATTCAATTGCCATTGCCATGTGATATCGTCGAACAGAATGCAGGTATTTCCGTCAGCTTCTGGTTCGGAAAGATGAAGCTTTGACTGGTGCTGATCAGAGGATTTTGTTTCAACTATTTACCCAATTTTTTGTTCTCGTGTCAGTATGAAATAATCTAACTGTTCATTTGACAAAAGCAGAAGAAAAGTTGAATGAAAAGTTGAACGGTGTGAGTTGGGCTTCAGCTTCATTTGTTCACGCGTTTGGGAATAAGTAGTGTTGTATTCCCGGACGAAGCTGTGTTCAATCTTTCATTAGAAAATATGATACAGCTCTTGTGCACATTACGCAGTTGAGAAGAGCAATCCCCTGCTCTTTACAAACGAAAATGTTGTTCATACATCCAACATGATGAAGTGTGTAATTAAATAACTTCAGATGAGGAAAGAATGAGGTTAAGAATTCTTACTTGCATTGAATCGGCGCTGATGATTTCGCCATTGAATTTCAAAGCCAGCTCGATTGCCAATTTTGATTTTCCAGTTCCCGTAGCACCTAACACCACAATTAAAGGTACTCTACTCATTATTTCATGACACAAAACAGTAATATAACGAAAAAACAAGGCAAAACACATGCACTGAATGGTCGATAAGCACATCTCGTTGTTGTTGTTTGGATTGAGCGTTTTTGCAGGCAAAGACCCCCTACGAATGAGCAGGCGATCACAGAGCGGGAGTAGCTGGTGGAGCGTGCATGAAGCTCGCTCGGACTCCATGATTATACTCTGCTGCTCTCTCCTCTCCTCTACTCTTTGCACATCACATACCTAATGGCGCCAAGCACAAATTTCACTCTCGGAGAAAAATTAAACTGCTCAGCTCAGGGAATTGACCTTTTTGATCGGGATTAAATTTCTAAAAGAGTTCAAACCAAGTACTAACCAGGGTAATTCTCAAAATTCTTTGGCAAGACATTTTTCTGATATAATTTAAGGATTACCTAAGGAGGGAAAATCTTTAGCATATCTGGAGAAATCACAAGCTTGTGTGGGGGCCCCGCAGCGTTCTGAGGCATTGAAATCAAATTCTAAACGTACCTACTTACATTTTGAATTTTGATGGAAAGTAAGGGGGGGAGGGGCTTCATTTATATCTGAGCCATGGGGATGCCAGATGATGAGGGATGAGTTTGAGGATTTTTGCGCTCAGCAGAGATGTTTTCAGGAGCATTGGGGGAACTAGTTAGGAGGAGGGGGGAGAAATATTACCCTCTCCTGACTTCAAGAAATATGAGGGCTTTTGCTAAGTTAGCTGTGTTGCTAGACTTTCATTGTGGAATTTGTAATTCTACCAAAAATATTTTCATGTGAAGATGAACCATCAAGCTAAAAATTTAACTCAGCATTTGCACAAATTTATAAATTTTTTTTGTGGCACAATGGTACAACTTCTGGGAAACATCCTGTTAAAGGTAACGAGGCACTTAGCATATTTCTTGAAAAATTTGCTAAAAAAATATCTTTGCACATTTCTGCTTTTGATAACTTATACCTACAAAAGCACATAACGATCCAAAAAGTGGTGAATTTTACCAGTCAGGCATCAAGGGGTGAAATATGGGAGCATAAATATAGCATTAGGTACCTAAGATGACATTTGAATCAGTGAGTTCGAAAATACACCAACTCGGAAAAAAAATTTTCAGGAAACACCTAAAACTTCGCAGCGGGCGAAGAAGTTAGTTTAAGATTAACTTTTTTGGTGCCAAAGGACGCAAGAAGTACTCTAGAGACTTTAACGCACCAAGTTTCAGATACTGATTTTTCATAGTCTGCCCTAAAAAATTTATATTTTTTGACCTGACTAACGCTTGAATATTTATATAACTTGTTGGCACAAGGTATACTGAACCGAAAAAATAAAACCGCATCGGATAGTCGCCCGTTTCCCTTGATCGGCCAAAAATTGGTATCTCCAATGAAATTCTTCGATTCTTCCCTTTTCCCGTCGCCGTTTCGAGCACTTCCGATTGCAATTTCGAAATATCCTTTTGCGTGCAGATGCTTCTACTTATCCGTAAGTGTTACTAAACCGTAAAAAAGTGAAAATCGAAAAAAACCCGTGTTGGAGTGTTTTCGAGCTCACTGATTCATTTTACATTATTGGAGACATGATTATGTGGATGGATAAGGTGGGGAGACGCAGGAGACGGCAGACGATAGGATGGGTTATAGTAGGTATTGGTTAGAGAGTGCTCGAACTGCTCTGAGTTCCCGTCGCGCCACGCAGCCATCTTGCCTGCTCATTCCGAGGGGGTCTTTGCCTGCAAAAAGTAAACATCGTATGTTGCACACTGCACATTGCAATTTATTGCAGTATACCAATACCATNTTGGAGTGTTTTCGAGCTCACTGATTCATTTTACATTATTGGAGACATGATTATGTGGATGGATAAGGTGGGGAGACGCAGGAGACGGCAGACGATAGGATGGGTTATAGTAGGTATTGGTTAGAGAGTGCTCGAACTGCTCTGAGTTCCCGTCGCGCCACGCAGCCATCTTGCCTGCTCATTCCGAGGGGGTCTTTGCCTGCAAAAAGTAAACATCTGTTGTTTGTACGGATCACAACAATCACAATCCAGTGTCGTCGTTTTGAGAAAGCTAAAAGACACTAAACATGTGTTACTCCTTTTGAGTTTTTTATCTTCAAAGGAAAAATATTTGGATACTAGACAGAAAATATTTCTATTTAAAACTAATAAAGCATTTAATGCATTTAACTCTTTGAAGAAAATTGTCCGATTAACATCACTGATCGGATTGAAAATACAATCAAGGGTATAACAGAGGAAATTAGTTCTGTTCTTGAGATACTCTGTTTAAACTGCCGGGAATTTCAAAAGTATCTAGCAGTGCTCCGTCAAGTGGTATTATTGTCTAAGTAAGAGGAACTCACAATATTTTTGGGTGAAATTGCTAAATTATATTTCTTCTAATTATTATATTATGCTAAATTTTAAAAATTAAATTGCCCAATAGAATTTGGAGATGGCTGATGTGACTTAGTTCCTTTCTGCGAAACGCGGTCCAATTTTACCATGGATATCACTCCTGTCTCTTTCTACGTGCTAATGGATTCTGATTCAGTGACTTCTCCTTTTCGATTTTACACTTATTGTTAGTGTTGTTAGGTATTATACATTTTCTATTCAGCGCTGAGGGTACTCCTTGCTGGATCATTTGATTTTTCTCCTCCTCTTTGCCAGGCTCTCCCCCTTGACCCCCCCCCCCTCCCTTCATTCGCTAGCTCCCTTCCCTTTCCGTCATTTTTTATGATTATTGTAATTTTGTAAATTCTACCGGTTGTCGGGGTATTACTTATCTACTAGCTAGCTCTTGTGTGTTACACCTTGCTTGACGCACAATATGCACGACGCGAGAAAGGTCCCGGTCAGCGAGACTGGAGTAATTCGGAGCGTAAAAGACGGAGGAGGGGACAATCATGCCCTACTCCCTAGATGACGTCACGATGAAAGATCCTTATTTAAACCCAATGGGTTGCTGCGCTTAAGATTTGGTTGGAGATTTTTTCTTAGTATTCTTGGTTTTATCAACGTTTCGGTAGAGGCGCCTCTGCTGAAGACTATTGAGTGATTACCTCTTTTTTTTTTCTTTCATAGTATATCATGATTAAGGATCTCTCGAAAAATTATCGAGGTTGCGGGTTACCACGCAGGGGGCCTGCGCTCTGTGGAAATCTACCTATTGGAAAAGCTCAAAATTGCCCTTGATACCACTCATTTTTTCAAAATTTTCTTGGAGAGCCCGCCGCCGTTCGGATCCCACTTTGGAGCTACGGAAATCCTTCCACCTCCCCCCCCCCCCCCNTTCGGAGGTGGTGGAGTCTCTTTTAGACGCCGCGCCCTTCGGTGGGGTGTCTTTCTGTACCGTCTCCAAACTCCTCTCAATGATGTGATCTTCTGCCACCCGCCGAAAAAAGTTCCACAAAAAGTTCCTGGTTTCACCCATACCCATGGTGGGAGGCAGGAAATCGCACCATTCCTGGACCCGGACCCATTTTTGGCAACACGGAATAAGCACGAATTCAAAGCTCCGGAAACTCGCCTGTGTCCTGTACGCAATTCCCAGCTACCAAGTATCTGCTGAGCGTTTGTTTTCTGGGCTGAAATTCATTTGAAGCTCGGCTCGGGCGATTGGCTCGTGAGAGAAATTCAGCTGATGCAAAGTAATTGCTGTGTCGCTCTCAGAAAATATGTATGACGCTTCCGCTCACTTACCTCTCGATTAGAACCCACACGGACCTTGTCCAGGAACTTGGTCCAGAGCTCGGACCCAAACCCGGACCCGGACCCCAAAATTTCTGGACAGTGTCCGGCAGTGGCGAGGCGTATTTTGCGATACATCGATCGATCTGCCATTTAAATCTATGGAAAAGGATCGATGAACAGGGTGTTCGCAAGGGATACCTTAATGATCGATTTTTTACCACAGCTTCAAACAGGGTTGGACTGGCTCGCATCTGAGGGCGTAGCCCCTTGGCTGGTTAAGGGGGCGCAATGTGATATTTCCTGGTAAGGCATCTCCTACGTGGAGGAGGGATCAGAAAATTTTGGAAAAGCGGCACAAGTTTACGCTATTTTCAGGTTCAAATTTTATTAATCGTACGGAGTAAAAATTGCAAAATTGAAAGTATTGAAGTAACCAACAGACCTCTGAAATTATAGAAAACACGAAAAATTAAAGCCACTAGACGCATCCAAGCACCGTTATTTCCACAAAAAAAACCGAACCAGTGCTGCGGTTTACACGAGCTTAGGACGTGGGTCTGCAAATCCATCCTTAGAAAAGAATCAGACAAGAACCGAAAAAAAGAACGAGTATCAATACAGTTGAACTCAGAAAAATCGTATTCGGGCCTCTTTTTTAACTTTTTCCCGAATCTGAGCGACACCTCATTGACAGCATATACCAGATCATTGAAAACTCACGCTTCGCGTCATCGCGCCTTCAATTTTTCAGATACAGCACGGACGTCCATCAAGTACGAATAGTTGTATTTCTGCGCCTTCGTAAACGCGCATCCTTTACCTCCCTCTATATCCATATTGTGTTTATTTGCGTTTGTCCTATTCGTAATGGTGCTTCAAGCACTACATTAGTAACACAGCCAAATTTAGGAGAGATGTGTTTGGGCCTCTTTTTTAACTTTTCTCCCGCGAATCTGAGCGATACCTCATTGACAGCATATAGCAGATCATTGAGAGCTCACGCTTCGCGTCATCACGCCTTCAATTTTTCAGATACAGCACGGACGTCCATCAAGTACGAATAGTTGTATCTCTGCGCCTTCGTAAACGCGCATCCTTTCCCTCCCTCTATTTTTTCTATATTGTGTTTGTTTCCGTTTGTCTTATTCGTAATGGTGCTTCACGCACTACGAGAGTAACTCAGCCGAAGGTAGAAGGGATGTGTTCGGGCCTCTTTATTAACTTTTAAAATATATTAAAAGGTCTTTCAAGAGGTCCATAAAGGGTGCGTATGTCTAAAAATCAAACCGACTATCGCTACTAGGGGGTTACGATACCTAGCGAATGAAGGAGGGGGATGATAAAGCGCCTGTGCCTATGTCGACAAAATGGTGAAAAGTTCACAGAAAAGTATTAACGC